AAAAAAAAATTTTTTAAAAAACCAAAAAAACTTTGGTATTCCCTATCCTTACCCTCCTCTCTTCCCTGCGCCTCCCCTCCGCACCTCTCACTCTACACGTTTTCCTTGGGCGATTCCCATCCACCCTCAGGGTTTTCACTATGACCCTCACTGTGATAAATCCCAAGTCTACAACCATGGCCTTGAATCTCAGATCTGTAAGTATAGCTACCGCTCAACGTCTCCACTTGGGCGTCCCAAAGCCACCTCACATTTGCACACCCCTACCCTTGACTCCACTTCCTGCCCAGCCCCGTTCTCCCTCAAGGTTCTTCCCATCTTGGGGAAGAGTGCTGCTATACCCACCTAACTGCCTGGGTCAGAGACCTGGATGCCAGCCACGACTCTCCCCTCCCTCTTGCCCAGATTCCTCCCCACTCCCAGTGGCTTCTTCTTCCCCAAAGCTTCTCGATTGCCATTACTCTTTTCCTGTCAACATCTGAGTCTAGACCCACATCCCCTCTCTCCTAGATTACTGACTTGCATTCTCCTAATGTATCTCCTTGCTCCCCTTCCTGCCCTGCCCCACCCACCCTTCGTACCGCCAGCAGAACGTTAATTCTGAATCTTGTAACTGACCATCTCATCTAATCTGACCTGACTCCCTCAGACTCTGCCCCAGACCCAGGGAAACAGATTGGCAGTGCCCTGGCATGTTCAACATGGATGGGATTAGCTCCAGAATAGCTTGCTTGCCCTTCAATCCTGGAAACCTCCTCTTTCTTTCGTCCTTCTTCTGCCTGGTCCTCTACAACAATTGGCTGGCTTTCCGACTTCCAAACTTGAGCTCTAGTTTCTGATTTCTGATTCTGTATCAATTTGTCCTTTGTGTCAGGGCATCCCACACCCGTCTCTCCTCCCAAAAAGAGTGGCCTTGCCCTGGTGTTGGCCCCCTTGAAAAATCTTCGGCCGCCTAGGGACGCCTGGGTGGCTCAGTCAGTTAAGCGTCCGACTCTCGATTTCAGCTCAGGTCATGATCTCCCGGTTCATGGGTTCAAGCCCCGCGTCAGGCTCCGCGTTGACAGTGTGGAGCCTGCTTGGGATTCTCTCTCTCCCTCCCTCTCTCTCAGAATAAGCACACATTAAAAAAAATTCTCCAGCCGCCTAATGCATCCAGAAGTGATTCTTAAACTTAGTTTCCAAGAGATCCGTAGATCTCTGGAGCGCCCAAAAGTGCCTACAACCAAGGTCAAATAATAGCCATCTTTTTCTGAATTCACAGAGAGCATTAAGTTAATAGGTTGGGTCACTTTTCAGTTTTTCTTATGCAAATTTTTCTTAAATCTCTGTCCCCTTGTTTTACTGCTGCTCTCCTGCTAACTAGTGACTGCATTGCCGCGAAGAAGTACCAAGGGAAAAATTCAGAAAACAATGGATCATACCTCAACAGTTTGTCTTGGGTGTGAGTATGCTTGTGGTTGTGATTTGATATTGATAACCTAGAACACCGTCATAGTTTCTGCTAGGAAAATTATTTCCAGTACATATGAAAGAGTTAAATGTATCAGCATTTTGTTTGTTCTACAAAGGGCCTCACACGGACTCTTTGCCCTGAACATGTCTGGAAAACCCTAGCCTAGGGCACGGCATCTCAATTCTTAGCCCAAAACACGACCTGTCCCCTGCCATGTCAAGCCAGGTTTATCCCCCTAAACGTGCTGTTCCTGCTCAAGCTGTTCCCTGCGCTCATGCTGACTCCCTCTGCCCTTATCCATTAAGGTCGAGGAAGAGACACCCCTTCTGAAATATCCCCTCCCAGCAGACAATGTGGAAAGTTTACTCCGTCTTAGTCTATCTTCTGTGCTTAATCTATCATTGCATGTGCCATGTTGCCTCATAACTGACTCATTTGATTTCCCTACCATTGGCTCCTAGAGCAAAGAGACCGTTAAAAACTCAAAGCTCAGAACCCTTGCTTCCTGACCCATGGCAAGGAGTTAGTGAAGCTCTGCCAATCTACTAACTTTTTTTTTAAGGGCATAGAAAGGGGAGTTGTTCAACATTCTATCTAATCTGATAGAATAGCACTGGTGAGCTTCTCTGGCGATAGAAGTCACAATATATTTAAGTTTTCTTCTATTCCTTTAGTTATCTTTCTTTCTTCTGGGGTCAGTTCCACTCGTTTATTTTTGGTTCTTCTCTTTCATGTTGGTAGTTCTCCTCAAATGCCTGATGACCCTTAGTTGTCTGGTCATATTTATGAATGAAAAACTATGTTCATTTTTATGGGCAGATGGCATGCGTTTCCTCTGCAAATCGCATTGATCTGTTTCCCCCCACAAACCCTTCTCCGGAATGGGAGGGCTGGCTGCGGGTTCTGTTTCAGTGGGTGGAGCCTGTCAACAGGCAGGCTTCCCTTTAGGTTATGTGGGTGGAGAGGCAGGAAGGCCAGGGACCCCCACAACCGATG